GTATGTGTCATACAAAAAATTATTACTAAATTTATCACGTGATATAAATTCCAATTTTTTTTTCAAACCACTGTATATATATATAATATTTATTTATAATAAATTTAATATTAATTTAATATAGAAATGATATTGTTAAAAGTCCTAATAACAAGATTGTTTAATTTATCAAATATAAGTTAACTTTTTAAAAGTTTTTACAATATTTAAAAAAGATATTTAACTTAATATTGAATTAAATATAAAATTGATAATAAATTAAAATATTTTGAGATTTAACTATAAATTAAAAGATTTGATTTATATTTTTTTAAATATAAAAGTTGGTTTTGTTCTTTTTCTTATATAATTAATTAAAAAATATTAATGATAAAACAATTATTTTTAGTTTTTTTATTAAAATTGTTTAAAAAAAATTTTTTCAAATAGATTATAAAAAGTTTATCAACAATTATATTAATATAATTATTTATAGATAAGTAAGTATTTTTACTTATTAAATATTTTTTTAGACACTAATAATTAATATTTATAATAACTAAAAATAATTTAAATATAATAACCAAAATTTTTTTATAATTCAATGAATTTTTACATTTAATACTTATTTATAATAATATATGTATATATTATAATAAAAAATTTTTGATATTAAAATTAAAAAAATCCAATTTGAAAAATATAATCAAAAAAATTTAATTAAAATGACTTTTAAAATTTAATTCTTAATATATTTATATACAGTATATATACAGTATTTTAAGATTAAATTGAAAATATTTTGTTACTGTATTGATTAAATAACCATTTAAAGTAATTTAATTAATATTACATCAGAGTACATGTAAAAAACACTACTCGTGACCGATGGTTTGTTGCAAGTAACAATATACAATATTGTTATTCTTCCGCGTGACTGCGGTGGCTGATCTAACGTAGATGATATAAGACTTTCTAATCAAACCATCTCGGGTTTCATAAAACATGACTCATCCGCCTTCCACCTATCCAATTAAGGGGATACTATACTTTTTCTCAAATTGGGTTTTAGTTCGAAGAATAATATGGATACTATTTCTGACCGTGCTTTTTGTCTTGGTCATAGTCGGTTTGACCTTTGGGTTTTTACTTACGTTGCAAGCTCATGGTTTAATAAAAGCTGGTTGTCCTGTGTGGTTGGCATGGGTCGTTGCGTCCATATTCTGTCTGATCGAATCTGTCATTTTTACCATTATCTTTTATCTTATTGCCACACCGTTCTGGCAGGACGCATTATTTGACGATGTTTTAAAATTAAGAGGGCTTGGCTATGTCCTTAAACAACAAAGAAACATATCAGAAACGACACTCTGTTTTCGTGGAATTGGAACAGGAATGTTGCTGGCATTATTTCAGGTGTATGTTTTGATAATAACGCAGGTAAGTAGTAATTCACCGGATGAGTTCAAAAATTGGAAATCAAATTATTTCACACTACTTTGATTTTTAAAGGTCATAACACTCATTGTTACCATGCCATTACATGCTTTACCGGTTGTGGGGACATTCATTTACTGTTATCTAAATGCATGGGTGATGACATGGGGTCATCAGTTGCACTACCATTTGGAAATAAAGGAGTTGAATGTAAACCAATCACGAAAGTTAGCTTGGAAAAACCGAGATGATTATATTTTGTTCGGAATGGTGGCAGTGGCACTTGAACTGATACCAATAGCAAACTTCTTATTCTTTTGGACAAATGTAGTTGGCGCCGCATTATGGACTGCCGACGTGAGTACTTCAAGCTTAATTGTTATCGTATTGTTGTTTTTCCCTTTTTATGAAGAATTCACAGATCCAAAATTTAAACGCTTAATAAGGTTCTCATCGAAGAACGTAGAGATGAATTAAACAGATCTATTGGGTTTACAGCACCATTTTTGGAAGAAGCAGTTGTGATACCATATCAAGCTATGCCAAATGTAGATAATTATTCCAACAATAATTACGGCGCAACCCTCTAGTTGATAATCGTTATTGCATTTTTCATCATAGTTTAGAGGACCGAATTTATTTTTTTCTTCTCACGAAACATAATTCTAGCATTTACACTAATTAAGTATGAAATAACACTTTTCAATTGTTCATCGCTTAACCGTTGGTTCAAATGAATCGCCAATTCTTACATTGAATTCATAGATTAAACGTGACTGCTGATGTACGAACTTTGATTGATCGTCCTATTCGATGATTCTAATGCTCGCACGAATTAGCATTTGTGATAATTTGACCATGTTTGATCGATCAAATCAATCGTATTTATGTTGTGTTACAATCTATCGATAAATCCCACAATACGTCATAACGACAATATATACTCCAACTTTTAAGGATTTGAGCTTTTGTCCGTAAATTTATCACTTGCACAAACAGTTCGATTTTCAAAATTCTTGTCAATTTGATTATCCGAGCATTCCCGTGCAACAGATAAATGAATGAGAACTTATTAGAAGGTCTTGACCAAAATCATTCGTTTACGGATTTTTCCATTCATGATTGAATACTGGATGGTCTCTTCCTGTTCAGAGAGTTCTCACATTATTAACCAGTTGAAAATTTTTTTTTTATAAAATGATATGTATTAAAAAGCAGTTGATCTAGAACACATGTGCATCTGTAACATCAATTTGGAAAAGCATTTGCTCGCGATACTAGTAAAGTATGCTTATGTTTTATCAAACCGTTAGAATCCCAATACTTCATATTGATGGCAAGTTACCTCACGCCCATCACAAGCGTATGACATGCCGTCGATCAAATGCTTTGTCCACGAAAGATAGAAAGTCAGTTTTTTTTTATTAAACCGAAGTGATTGAGAGATGAACGTGTGTACTTACTTTACCGGATTTACCAATACGCCCATTTGCTTTAGCAATGTACAGCTCTTTTCCATCCTTTATGATGTAAGGTTCGAGTAGCCGAAATAAATTACTAAAGACTCATAATGACATTTTCAAATAAAAATTAATTACCTTTTCTTGACCTGCCTTCAAAGGAATGAAGAATTGAGGTCGTGTCGCTCCAGAACTGTTTGATAAAATTATCAAAAAGAGCGTAAGAATTTTATCACGGAATTAATAATAAATAATAATAATAATAATAATCTTTTTTACCATTCATGCCATCGAAATTGATTTTGATCACCTGTGAGTACTTCGTACTCATGAATGAGATATTCCTTCCCTCCCCAGCCAATGACACATCCACCCCGACTGGGTTCAACATATCCGACGTGTATTCCTCCTTCGAAGTGTGCTCGGGCAATAACTTGACCAGAATGGAAATCAGCATGGAACGCGTTCGGGGGAATATGACCATCATGTGCCCTAACCCATGTGGTGGCCTGAATTTCGAGAATTTCGAGGAAAAAAATCGGTCAATTTATTTTACCCAAGATTAAGTAGATCAGAAGTGCCAATCGATTACATGCCCAGTGTTCTTGCGCAACTGCCATTATTAAGAAGTGATTTTAAATTTTATGGTAGAGTCTCTCAGATAGATGGAAATGTTTTTTGGGACCCAGAAACGACTATAAATTCTCTTTATATATTCAATCGGATAATATAGATTTCGCGCCCGCATGGGAAAAAATGATGTTACTCCTCGTTACATGCCGAATATCCCTTCCAAATTTTGTTATTAATGGTTTTTAAAAATGTGCACGTATTTCCCTTAAATAATTCTTCCGAATATTTACTATTTTTATCATTGTCAGGTGAAAATTGAACTTTTCTAGCCTTTTGAGAACAATCTACACGCCTCTCAAAGACACTAATAAATCTTGGCAGACAGCACGCAGAATGGATTTATCAATATATTTAAAAATAATTTGAAACATGAAATCCAGATTATAACATTTAATTTATGGAAGTTTGCTTGAATTCAATTTATTATTATTAAATCACTTCTTTCGAATCTTCTCCAAAAGGAATTTCCTTGGACACAGTAAAGTTATAAGAACGCCAACAATTCATAATCATAAGCATGAAGTTCTTGTCCATAACACGGATATAAAGCGCCTTGTGTTAAGTGCTATGTTTAAAATATCGAGATATTACCGTTCATAAGATGCATTTGATCTTGATAATTTGTGCGTGTGACAAAAAACTTACTTGTCCGGCTTTTCCAATATGCCCATTTACCATGGCGATGTACAACTCCTTTCCATCCTATTGTATGACGTGCGTAAATACAAATTTGAGAGAAAACGCAAGCGAATAAGGAAAGAAAAACCAAATAATTACAGCTTCGTATCCTCCCTTTAAAGGGATAAAATTTTGTGGCCTACCGCCTCCTGAACTGTAATGATAGATAATTAAATATATAAATTTTTATAACTGAAGTCATGACCAAAACGTTATGGGGTAAATAAACTTACAATGAAACCCATCGAAATTGATTTTGATCTCCCGTAAGTACTTCGTACGTGGAAATGACATGTTCTTTTCCACCCCAACTAATGACACATCCTCTCTGTTCTCTCGAAACATATCCAACTTGCAAGCCTCCTTGAAATTGCGCCCGAGCGATATTGTAGTCTTCGTACACGAATGCACCTGGTGGTACTTCGCCGTTACTACAAGGAACCCATCGTGCGGCCTTTGTATCATTGTAACAAGATTTGTATTAATTCTTAAAACATCGATATCCTTGAATACGAAATATTTTCATACCCAATGATCCTGTGCGACTGCCATGACGAAAATTTGCAAACTTCTAACAGAGACTTTTTTTTTTGAAAAGATACAGTATATCACGTTCGTACCACTTATATATAGGCGTAAGCGAGTGGCTTTGTAATAAACTTAATAATAGTGCGTATTGTAAGTTACAAGTATTCTATAATTGGTATAACACTTTTAATTCGATTATGCAAAATGTTAAAATGTTTGGGTCATACGGTCATCACTCGGTAATTAAGATTGAAATCTTTCATCGAGTGAGGTTTTACTTTTGAACACCAATGATATTTCCGTCTCGAACATTGTCTGGCTCACCCCACCGTGAGTATATTTTGCATGAAAATAAATAGACAAAGGATGAGAATTATAATGTTCTTTTATTTCGTGAGATGAGGAAAAAAAAAATCTTGCGCAGATAGCATTATGTGATTTTTGGAATTATGGGATTCGGAATATGTCAAGTAGTTGGTTCATGAACTCGTAGTGTCTTTCGTTTTTAAGTTAACTGAGTTATAATTTTTTCGTGTAAAATACAAATTTTTAAAATATAAATTGTATATTAAAAATATTAAAGTTTATACAATGTACTGTTACAAGAAATTATAATTAACATAAGACAAAAAATAAATCAATATTTTAAAATTTTGTTTTTTTTTGTTCATAATATAAACTTAAAAAATTATCTATCATATGACTTGTATATTTTATTTTTGTATATTTTTTTATATTAATTCTTGTAAATATATTGTTAAATAAATTTTATAAATGTTTAATTAAAATTTGATTTTTTTATAAATATTAAATATCAAAAAGTTATTACATTTGAAATTTATTAAAATATCATAAATATATTTATTTTCTAAAATATAAAAAAACTCTCTCCTGATCGCATCCGTTTTGTTAAAAATTTTCCTTTTATGGTAATTTTAAGCAAGAAAAAATGT